ATTATATATTTCATATTTTAACGTCTTTAAATAATATCTTTTAACAGATTTATTTTTCGCTGTCTTGTTTGTTGCTTTGTAGAAATAAACCTATAGATAAATTAGGCATGATTAGAGCAAACCAAAAAAGAACCTATAAAATTATACGATCATATTTACTAAAAAGAATCATTTATTGCATTATACATATGGAAATAATGTTGTCAATTTTAATTTGTCTTATTCTATAAGATACTAGCGGACCCGACAGACGTTGTCCTGTCTACACGTCTTTAATTTGAAAATTTCAAACTTTTTTTAATAATTTTTTTGATGAAAATTATTATTCAAATTGTGAATCTAAACCATTCCCAGATCCCCTTGAACACACACAAAAAATTTCATCAAAATCGGTCCAGTCGTTTGAGAGAAGTTCAGTGACATACACACTCACAGAAGAATTATATATATAAAGATTTAAATTGTCTTTTTAATCCCTCCACGACTCACTCCAATCTCCTCCACCATCTACTTACAATATTTGTTGATTTTTATTTGTAAACATTAAAAAAAACTAATAAATATTATAATTATTTATATATTAAGTATAATTATTTATAGCAATATTATTTATCTATTTAATTTTAGCTGTTATTATTATAAATATTAAAACATAAAAAAAACTTTATTAATTACTAATATTATTTAGTGTTGCTATTATTATATTATGTATACAGTATAACCATACAGAATATTAAAAATTAAAAATATTAATTATTTATCTAAGCAATATTATTGTTTTATATATAATTTAAAAGAAGTTAAAATATTTATTTAGGTTGCTATTATTTAAAGTTAAAATATTAAGCAACACTACTGTTACCTTTATAGACAAAAAATATTAATCAGAATTACTGTTATTATTGCGATCCACACAGCATGAACTAACTACATCTACTGGTCTGTTATATTTGTTTTTGTTGTTAGATTTTATAATGTTTATTACAGGATCCCAAGATGATGGTAGTACCCAGTCATCTTCTCTATTGATGATTGGATATTTTTTAACTTCAATAGCTTCGCGAATCATCGTGGGGCGATAGCGGTTCTCTTTCGAGAGTATTTGTGGACTATCAAAGCTAATGCAGTGGCTTGGGTGATCCTGGCTATATTTAAAAATAATATAATCAACGGTGGGTTAAGATAGAAAGATATTTGTAGCGACATCTATCGAAATCTTACCGTACTATTCACATAATTGCTACTAAAAGTGATGTAATTGTACGTACAAACAATAATAGATGGCGCTGTTAGTTACTCGTATATTAAGTAGTACTACACTAAATTAAAAGATGACGCTGTATTTAAATTTAAAAAACATATACATATATTTTATTCACTAAATCACTTTAATTATACCGAAAAATTAAAAAAAATCTGTTAAATATGTTCATTAATATTATTCTTTCAAATAATTTTTTTGTACTATTTATAAAAGAAAATTTTTGCCACCTCAAGAACTTTTTTTTAACCGAGCCCCGAATCTGTACATTAAATTTGTTTTTTTGAAAACATAAAAAAAAAAACATACAGTCGAATTGAGAACCTCCTCCTTTTTGAAGTCGGTTGAAAATGATATTGAAATAGCCATTATTATCGATACAGAAGCCGAATCTATAGTTTTTAGAATTTTTATCTCTCTGTCTGTCTGTGACCGCATCACGACAAACCCACTGGACATATTTTGATGAAATTTGCTATGATAATATCTGGTTATCTGGGTCAACATATAGGTAACTTTTTTACTGGAAAATATCTTATCTCTGAGAAATCTATACCAAACGTTAAAACGTAACTAAGTACAGATAATAAGTCGCTTGTATAGATAATAAGTATATCTGCTACTTTCTGTAGTTTCTTGAATAATTGAATGAGTCCTTAAAAAATATTTGTACTTGTATATTTTTATTATTATTGTGTATAATAGAAAGTAAAGTAGAATTGCTTTTTCTACAAAACCTAGTTTAACTCCAAAGATAAAATATACTACAGATAATAAATAACTGTACAGATAATATATAAGATTTATTTTCAACTTAAACTTAAAAATGAAAGTCAAAAATTATGAAAAACTATTGTATTTCTCATCCTGATGCTAACTCTAGGCTACATACATACCGAAAACGTCTACACTCTCAATAAATAATTTACAATTTCGCTTATGGCTATAGGAAGCAAATCATATCTTACTGAACTAAGTTAGTAAAAAAAGCTTTCGTCAAACACAATGTCGGGCTTTAGTTCAATGGCTGGTTCTTCAATATTTAATAATAATTATTATTTTTCATTCCACAAAAATCTAGATTTTTGTTGCTTTAGTCTATCTGTATCTTCTAAACAGACAATTATTTTTTTTAAATCAGAATTTTAGCAATAGAGATTCATTTTCGTTTGAAATTTTATTTAAAATTTGACCATTTTTGTTTAATTAAATATAGCAAAGTCTGTTTTGAGTCCAACCTTGGTGGTTTTATACCAATTTGACATTTAAAATATATTCAGACTGTCCATAAGATGGAAATTATCTTTGTCGCTACAACTTTCAATTCAAAAATTGTTTATAATAACCAGTAGCCACAGTTAAGTGGTACCTTAATGTTAAATATAAAAAAAAAACAATTTGTCTTTTTGTATACAATTGTGTCAAATATTTTATACATCTAGATTTTTTTTAAACATCATAATATTATTTATTGTCTAAAACAGCTTTACATATTGAAATTATACATAATATTGTACATACGTACATTAAACAAATTTTACATATATAAAATGATTTTGAACGTCACTTTTGGACTAAACATAGATATCAGTCGAATGAAATTTTACAAAATCTATAAAAAACCAGCCATTTCACCATTTCTATTCGAGTTGCAACTTGCGTCAATAGTAACATATATAATTATATATTTAATCTCAATAAAATGATATGTAATTTCGAGGCAATATGCATTTTGTAATCTGTACTTGTGTAATGAGTGTTTCTTACTTAGTAGATAATAAAAAAAATCTACTCGCAAAATAGTGATATTGCACAAAGAGTGATTGGGCTATATTATATAATAATAGGTATGTATATCTATAAGTATCCAGATATCGTCATCTCAGTGCTTATTTGTACGAACGACCAATGCATCGAAATAGTTTTTATTACAGAATTTACTTTTATTATATTGGTATTAATACACATTTTACGTTGATAAAGCCGAAAAAAATATTTTTTTTTATTTTTTTTTTCATATTTTTAGTGATGTGAAAAAATGTTCAATTTTTCGCTTCTATGCAAAAAAACGGTGGAGATCAAAGTTGTACGAATTTTAATTCGACACAACTTTTTTACTGTACATTTTAATTTTTATAAAGTCCATAATAAATGAAACAATTCAATAAGAACATACAGCAAAATGTAGGGAATTGAATAATAATAATATTCGTTATGATTTTTCTCGAAAAGTTAAAAATGGCAGAGAGATGTCGGCGAAAAACGATTCTCACGACGATACTGGTGAAGGCTGTCTGTAACAACTATACCTTCAAGACATGTAACACCTCAGTCTCTCCCGTGACCATGGATGCTGTAAAGCATTCGACACGTCGGGAACCAAAAATCCAAATAAATCCGCGAAAAAATCCGAAAAGATAGTTTTATTTAAAAAGATTCTGGTGAAATAAAGATTTGGCATAGATTTTTTTCGGGGTTAGCCTCTTTATTTCGACAACCCGACTGGCTACAACAATTATTGGTCATTTAACAAATAAGCACTAAGACGACGATGGGTCGTTTGATAGGTATAACGGTTAGAAATGAAAAATTTAAAAACTTTCATTTCTCTATGCGATTAAAAAAAACTATTTAGAGTGAGAAAATATACGTTTATAAATAAATGACAATAATAATATCATACAGAGTTTTGATGATAGGTACTTTGTATTTGGACGGAGTTATGCAAAAAACCGCCATGTGCGTAAAAGTACCAACAGAGTTATAAGCATTTTATTATAAAAAATAAACAATACAAATATAAATATTGTTCAATTTTAAAATAATCAGAAAAACTAAACATAACCCAAGTGCAACTATCGACAGAAAAATGCTTATAACTCTGTTGGTACTTTTACGCACATGGCTGTTTTTTGCATAACTGGGTCCAACTATACACTTTTGTCCTATATATTTAATTGTAGAATCCTGATTAGTTTTTATAATGTGACATAAAATAGGTTCATTAGAAACATTTTTTTTTTAATTTCATATGTAAAGAGAAATTAAAAAAAAAACTAAGCAAGTTATTAATAATCTGTTGTCTATTTTTTGCATTTCGCTATCTGTCAGAAATAACTTGTTAAATTAATTACTTGTACAAAAATGCATGATTTTAGATAATAAAATAAACAGTCGCCAAAGAGAGTATTTTGAATTGCAAGAAAACTTAAATGTATTTTAAATTGTACTATTATTTTATTGAGTATATTTCAAAAGTGAATATATACATAAACACATACAAACATACATACAAATATACATTCAGGAGGCACATTTGTATGAAGCTGTGATAGAATTGAAGCAAATTTTAAAAACAAAACAATATCATTTTATATATTGTGACCTGATTCGATCTTTGAATATTTTAAAAACAATCTTATAATTTATACTTACATATAAAAATATTACAAATCAGCCGGTAATTTCATATTTAAATTTTATTACCTATCTACTCGTATACGTTTTAAATTCGCCATTAAAAAATAACAGATTATTGCACTAAAAAAACCAATAATACTTAAAAGTTGCCGTCCAAAGGCAAAATGATCTAAACTCTAAACTACATATTCAGATCCACTAAAATTAAATCAAATAAAAATGAGAAGCCAACATTTTTACACACGTGTATACAAAAACAACCAGTCAGAGATCGCTCCAGATCACAAGCTTTAGCCTACTACGAATTATGTACAGTTCACATTTCAACGTCTCTGCTTAAAGAATCATATTTTTCCTTCACTTCTTCTGGAGTAAAACTTTTCACTGACACCGTCTCTGATAGATCAGTACTAGATAGTTTATTTGTTATTTTTGTTATCGATATTCTACTTTCGATATCGTTCGCGTCACAAATGGTCTCCACGATTTTTTCAACTCGCCTAGGTTTTGGTAGATTTTGGGTTACGACCTTTGTACTCTTGAGCTTTTCACTAAGGATTTTGTTACAGGTTTTCTTGGACATGTCTAGTGCTAAAGGATCTTTTGGTTCATCGCCTTTTTCTTCAACGCTAGGTTTGTTTTGCTGCTTTATTTCAGCAACTTCGGCATTCGACACGTTGTCTTTCTTCTTCCATTTCGTTCTTCTGTTCTGGAACCATATTTTTACCTGAAATAGAAAATGAATATAATTAAATACTATATTTAATTAGACAATTTACTTCAGCGAAGTCTACTGAAATTAAAAATTTACAGGTCAAATTTTCCATGTATGTTTAGTAATCTGCTCCGATTCCGTTCAAACATAAATCGACGAAGATAGGCAATAATATTACTTAAGGATAATCTTAATATGTTCTTAGATTTACAAAAATTTTAGATTAATGTTTGACATTTTAAATAAAACTATCTTTTCGGATTTTTTCGCGGATTTATTTTGATTTTTGACCCCTCCTGTGACCATGATTGCTGTAAAACATTCAAAACGTCAAGAAACAAAAATCAAAATAAATACGCGAAAAAATTCGAAAAGATAGTTTTGTTTTAGTATAATCTAGTTTTGTGTAAACGATTTTTATTTAGAATAGAGTCTACTATTGCGAAAACGACCCCGAACAATTTCCTTTATAATAATCACAGATCTAAAAACATATAGAATTGAAAACCTTGTTACTCAAAAATGTGTCATTGCAGAAATTTACATACATATATATGATATATGATACAGAATTAACCAAGTTATTTCAACTCGCATCGCACATATAACTATACACGACACTCGCATGCCGGGTGTGTATTTGCCGCTTGCGGTGCGATATCAGTTAACAAACGGTTAATTACGAAATAATCGATCCGATTTCGGCGAGGGATGGGACGATAATTTTAGATAGATTTGAAAGCATTTACTTCAACTATAAATAGAATATACTTCTATACATATAATAAAATTGTAACTAAGCCGAATCTCTACATTAAATATTTTTTGGAAAATCTTATTGAAATAAACATTATTATCGATACAGATGCCGAATCTATAATTTTTAGATTTTTTTTCTATCTGTTTGTTTGTTACCGCATCACAGAAAAACCACTGGAGGGATTTTGATGAAATTTGGTATGGTGATAGCTGGTTATCCGGGTCAACATTAAGGATACTTTTTACCGCCGGAAAATGTCTCATTTCTGAGAAAAAATACAAAAGCTGCAATGTAAGAGTATACTTATATGTAAAACCTAAGAATATCGTTTTTGGTCATCTGAATGCGGGTGGAGCCGCGGGCAATGCTAGTATAATTATATAATATTAGTTCACGTTTAAGATTAAATTAATTAGATAAATCTTCATAATAGACTTAGTTTGAAGTTAATACTTAACTGATCAGATTAATCATAGTTTACGACAAAGTCCATAGTAATTATTTATGGGTAAGTGTTTGTGTAAGTGAAAGTTGCAATCAAATCTTGGAAACCAATTTGAAAATTTGTAAGTATTATAGGAAACTAGCGGACCCGACAGACGTTGTCCTGTCTACACGGCTTTAATTTGAAAATTTCAAACTTTTTTAAATAATTTTTTTGATGAAAATTATTATTCAAATTGTGAATCTAAACCATTCCCAGATCCCCTTGAACACACACAAAAAATTTCATCAAAATCGGTCCAGTCGTTTGAGAGAAGTTCAGTGACATACACACTCACAGAAGAATTATATATATAAAGATGTGGATGATTATACGGTAATTTTATAATATCGAGTTAATCTGATGGTGGAGTCAGGAGATGGATAGTTGAAATCTTCTGTGGTCTATGGTTAGTAATACCTTCGAGTTTTGATTAATTTGTTTTAACAAGTCCTTCACATTACAGATTCCCTTTTTAACGTCCCACTGCTGGACATGGGCCTCCCTTCAGTACGAGGGGAATCAGGCCATAGTCCACCACGCTGGCCAAGTGCGGGTTGGCGGACTTCACATGTCTTTCGAAAACTTGCTAAGTTCTCTAAGACATGCAGGTTTCCTCACGATGTTTTCCTTCACCGTTAAGACAAGTGGTTATCATGTTGGAAATGATTCGCACATGAAAATATCAGAGGTGCGAGACCCGGGATTTGAACTCGCTTCACTCGGTTTCCCAAGCGAGCACGTTACCACTGGGCTAACACTGCCCAGCCTGTTACAGATGGTATATAGGATAGATTTTTTTAATCTTTTAAAATCGATTTTTAAATAGATATAGTTCATTTGCGAAAGATCGTCAAAGGCTACTTTTTATGTAATTGCAGGACATAAAGCTGCTGCAAAAACTGCATCATCAATAATAACATTTTAGAAAGGAATACTTTTAATTGTATATATTGTATCTTTAGAATATGTACGTCATAATTCGTTGGCTTACTATTACAATTAATAATTAATTTTAATGAAGTTTGTAATTTTTACATAGAACTTCGTTATTTTTATTATCGTAAAAAAAACAACATAGAACTATGTAAAATTGAATATTTTGTAGTTATAGTGCCGCTATCTAGTGGTTTGTTTTTGCAAAACTGTAGCTAATGACACATAGAACCTTGTAGCATTAATAACTAAATAAGTACTAAAATTGTAACATAGAACCTTGTAATAGTGAGCCAACGGTAATCAAATTAAATGACTGTTATCTGTTTAAACTCTTTATAGGATCTATTACAATCTGATTTATTTGTAAACTAATTAAGCGCATTCGTCACCTTTAATTTACACAATTAATCATTTTAATATGTAAGAAAAAATAGACATAATAGGCTGGGTCTATTAATATATAAATACTTTTTTAGATAAATAAATATTGTTGTGTATAGCAACTAGTATAAGAACAAATAATATAAACCCAAATGGCGAATCTCAAAATGGCCGCCATGCAAATTGAAAAAAATAGTACAAAATGTTTTAAGTTATTCGTTGGTACTGAACCCTTCTTGTGCGAGTCCGTCTCGCACTTGACCGGTTTTGTTAAAATTTAGAGACCAACGACACTCTAGTTAGAGACACAGCAAAATATTCTAAAGCCTAAACATACGGACATACAGTTAAAACTATTAATCTACATACACCATGTATATGACAGTCAGCTCAATGCTCATAGCTCGTACGTCACTCGACCACTTCCGTATAATTACCTCGCGTATTAATCCCGGGACATGTGACATTTGACCTGCGGCTCTCGCGCGGCGACCATGCGGTCAGTGACGCGCGGACAGTTTAAATTGTTTTTTTTTTAAATCTCATTTATTTTATCGTTGTGTATGAGAAATATTTCGTAGGGATATTTTAGAATGGAAGCTTAAGATTTAGTACTTTAGCTTTTAAAGTTTATATTAAGTTATGTAAGCTGAATGGTTAATTTCTGTTGAGGTACGTAACTACTTTTTAAAGATCATTTCCCCACCGTTGGGTGCAATATGGCGCCATCTATTAAAAAATAATAATTTAAAAATATCAATATGTAAAATTTAATTAACTAATATCTTTAATATTATAACTCAATCCATTAATATTATAAAATTGTAATAAAATAAATTATTACCTACTAAAATATAACTATTCAATACCAAATTAATATTATAAAATATAAAATTATAAATAACAAAGTATGATGAATCGATATTATGATCTTCTAAATAATAAATATTCCAACATGACCTATCAAATTATAAATATATAATCAATTCAGACATTATAACTAACATGAGCCTTATTGTCTTTTCATTAAGATACGTGCTGAGTTTGACGTCTTCCTTTATACACAAATATACTTAAGTTTATTTTATTTGATATATTTCATCAACAAATCATGGTCACCCTAACCACACCTTTACATTACAGCACAATGCAATCCACTTGGTTGCAAACACAAAGATAATTATTATTGATTGCGCATTAGCACTAGGCGGGAGGGAGACGGAATATCCGCGGGGGGTGGGTGGGGGAGGGAGAGGGACGAGGGATGCGGTGGCGGAATGATACAATGGTTATGCGACATGTCAAAGCCGCGCTAATTGTGTCGCGGTGATAGTGATGCGTTCGTGGATGTTTATCGATGTTTAATGGCAATTAAATAATGATTTGTTCACCATGACAGGTTAGGTTACATCCCTAGTAGTCTTATCCCGAGGGATAGCTTTGCTGGGCATCCTTAGTTTACTAAAAAATACATATCCTGTACATATTACTAATTAATTATGTAAGAGTACTAACTTTTTAAAAATGTATCCTCTAAATGTCTATAGAAATGAGGTTTTACCCGCCACTCCATTCTTGGTAAGGTAAGTTTAATGTTACAATATATCTGTTTAGTACAATACACATTCGTCTTCATATTAATAATTATTCCTATAGGACTTATGTACATGATACTATCAAGAATCTGGATCATTGGAGCATTTGATTACAATTTACATGAAATGTCTGATCAAATAGCTGTCAAATGGCAGTGGCATCTTAGAGGCTTGAAAATAACTAACATATTATGTATGTATATTGTACACTGTGTACGGAGTTCATTCCCGACGATGACAAATATTTATATTAACTTTAAGGTTCAGTCTTCTTCTAGGAATGTACAAAGAATAACTAAAAATAATAGTCGGATAATTTTCATGATTGCCATAAAGATAATACGTATTATAAATAAATAAATAAATAAGATCTTCTAGTGTAATGCTCCAAGTCATACTCGTATACGCCACTCTGTATGCTGTAGGTCGCGGGTTCGAATTCCATTAGCAATAAAAATATATATAATTAATTATTTTGCTATGGATATGTGTGTTATTTTGTAAATATGTAATTTTAATTAGGAATTGGCTTTGAATAGAGTTTTACATCAATATAGAAATTACATTACATGGTAAGACATTCATACTATATATATATATATATATATTATATATATATATATATATATATATATATATATATAATGTGAAAGCATGTGAGCATGGATATATGGATGGATGTTTGTTACTCTTTCACGCCAGAACAGCTGAACAGATCTGGATATAATTTGGCACAGAGATAGATTATAGTCTGGAATAGCACAAAGACTTTTCATCCCGGAAAAATGTACGCTTCCCGTGGGATAGGTTTTTTTTGTTTTTCATTAACTAAATTCTAAATTACATAAGACAAAATGAGACAAGCTATTTAATAATCCTTTAAAGAATTTTGATAAGTCACTGCTCTATAATAGTCGTTGATAAACAGAAATTTTGAAAATTGTTATGTAGTATATTTTAGTATTTTAGTTTTTCATATATTCTTTTAGATTTTTATTCATGAACTAGCATTGCCCGCGGCTCCGCCCGCGTTCAGATGACCAAAAAACAAATTCTTAGGTTTTACATATTAGTATACTCTTACATTGCACTTTTTGTATTTTTTCTCAGAAATGAGATATTTTCCCGCGGTAAAAGTATTCTATATGTTGACTCGGATAACCAGCTACCATCATACCGAATTTCATCAAAATCTGTCCAGTGGTTTTCTCGTAATGCGGTAACAGACAGACAGACAAAAATTCTACAAACTATAGATTCGGACTCTGTATCGATAATAATGTCGATTTCAATTAGATTATCCAAAAAATATTTAATGTACAGATTCGACTTAGTTACAATTTTATTATATGTATAGATATGGTGTATAAATGTAGTTACTTTATTGAAAACTTTTAAACAAGGATCAGTTTTAACGCTTTAATTCCTTTTCGATGTTCCCTCGCTGTTACATCGATGGCCTGCGGCGATTTGCCAACGAAAAATCACTCTATGACCTATAAAATAGAGTTTAAATTGAATGTTTGTAAAAATTATTGACAAATATAACACACACAAAAATAATTGGGTTTTTATGTTTTGTAGCAACCAGGAACAGGATTTTGATTTCAACGCTTTTCTCACTAAATCTTCAGTTACGAAAATCTATCCACAATATATTTTTTTTGTCAACATAACACTAATGATCTAACAACGAACATGAAATTTTCTATATAATCTTAACTCTGTCATAGATAGATGGATGCCAGGAATGGACATAATGTGATGTTATATTTATATATATATATATATATATATATATATATATATATATATATATATATATATATATATATATATAAAATTGAAGTTTCTGTTTGTAATGTCAAAATAACAACTTTCTACTAAATGCATAAAAAATTATATACGGTACCTACAAAATAGACACAACTTTTAAAAATTTTGTCTGTCTGTTTCTTCCGGCTTATCTCTAAAACGGCTGGTTTGATTTTGATGACTTTCACTGGCAGGTAGCTGTTGCTAGAAGTAACGTAGGCTACTTTTATGTTATAAAAAGAATTACGATTCCGATAAAACTATCTTTTCAGATTATTTTGAGGATTTGTTTTGATTTTCATCTCAATAACAAAATAAATCCGCGAAATAGTCCGAAAAAATAGTTTTATTTAAAATGTCAAAGTAAATCTAAGAAAGTATAAATTAGGACTCCGCTTAGAAAAACCTACCTAGGGACACACCCGAGCGAAGCAAATTTAAGTCGCCAGTAAGTTAACAATAAATGTAATTGTCAATTCAACAAGATCATTACAAAAAATCCTTATTTTATATATATATATATATATATATATAATATATATATATATATATCATATATATATATATATATATGTTATTGTCGCTCGACAAGATGACTCCATGACGCCTGATGGTAAGCGACAGTGGAATCCAGAATGAGATCCATCGGTTCCGGGACTTGACTCGATTCCGATCAAACTCACCTCGTCGGCTTGCAAATGTGCTTTTTCACGCTCCGTTTAAACGACCCAGGATTATAGGAAGAGGGAAACACGTGTGACAGTAATGAATTCCATGGTTAGTTTATGGTTAGCTCAATTCAACCATGTGAATATTTACAGTGAGAATATTTACGAATACGTCTCTGTCTATCTGTATAATGTGTCGTTGTATTTCAGCGGCTTGGGAAGAAACAGTTCTCAACCTGCCCCAACACAGCATCTCGTGATTCATTAACCTCTTTATGCAAACACTGCGATTTTAGGGCACGACTTAACCCTTTTAAAATGCTAAAATTTGTCTAAAATGACGAAAAATGCTACATAAGTTTACGAGTACCTTATAACTATTGTATATTATTGTTAAAAATGGATCAAAATATTGTGGTTTGCGCTTTTTTATACCATACTAACAATTCCCCCTGGCTTCGCTCAGGTTCGTCACTAGGTTGATTTCCCATTCAAACTCTCTCTATGTCCTTCCCAGGGTCTCAAACTATCTTCTTACCAAATTTCATCTAAATAGGTCCAGTAGTTTATGACTTTATTCGTTATAAATATACAAAAATAAAAACTTTTCTCATTATAATATTGTATGGTTAGAAGTAAGATAAACAAGTAGATATGTGGTCTGTCTCGTCGTGAGTTTTAACTGGTAACTATCGTTTTACTGAAAAAGAGAGATTTATGGAAATAGAGGAAGGAAGTGCAAAATGTTATTTGACTTCCGGTTCACACTCTTCAATTTTACGTTAATATTCGTTATTTTTAGTTAAACTTCCCGATTAACTTTTTGAAAGATTATATGTATTTCTATAAAATGAAAATATATATCTTTTTTAAATCCCAATAAACAATAATGAAAGCACCATTTTATTCTTAATATTTAACAACTTAAAGTATATTTTAATTAGTATTAAGAAATAAACTATATTCAAAACTTTGAGGAATTTTCTACTTAATATTAGTCTTATCAGTATGAGTGATACAAACGACTGCTCCAATCGAAATATGAACTTGCGACTTATAGGGTAGAAGGATTCAAATCGATCACATGAAACAATAAGTTGTAAGGCTGAATTATTTTTATATATATTTACTAGCAGCTCACCCTCGCTTCGCTCGGGTTCGTCGCTAGGTACGTTTTAAATAGATATAAATAGTTATTAGCCAGCGTTAGCCATATACATTTTAATTTTTTTTTTCGTTAATTTTTCAATTTTTTCTTTCATAAGAACCTTCTCCTGACAATAACAAACACAACAAAAAAAATAGTTAAATCGGTCCAGCCGTTCACGCGTGATGGCGTGACCAAGGGAAATAGGGATTCATTTATATATATATATATATTTTAGATTA